AGGGTTTGGACTCCCAGCTCTGAAGGTGGAATGGGCAGCAGGAGAGAGCAAGAGATACATATCAGTGCGGTAGGGAGATGTTTTTTTAAGAGAACCTGTTACATTGCCGAATGGGCAAAGTAGCAGAGTATCTTTAAGAGTTAAAGTTATGGGCTAGGTTGAGGTTAAGCTAGGGATTAGGTAATGACTAGGTTTCTGAGTTATAATGAGGTTAGTAGGTTGAGTTAGTAAGTGACTAAAATCCATGTTTTGGATCGATAAGCATATAGCACATAGGATATTGATATTTCAACTGAAATTTTGTGTGATGAAATGATTATTGCTGAAATTCCTGCATCAAAAAAATTCCAGTTTTCATACATAAACATTAACAAAATTAAATCCTTAAAGAATAATGTAAAAATGAACAAACAAACACTAATGAATAAACACAACATATATCTTTAAAATAGTATACAAATACCCATGAATCACTTCCATAAAACTAAATAGAGACAAGAGTTCAAGATGGAGCAGTCTCTTTCAGTGTACTTGTATATAGTCTTTAGGACTGCTTATGCTTTCAGCAGCAAGACTTATCTTCTTATTACAAATCAATAAAATTCCTGAAACACACAGTCATTTCACCTTTTATTTTCTGCACATGAGCTGCTACATCTGCTTAGATCTTCAGTATTGATGGGCAAAGTGAGGCCAGGAAGTCCAGAGGCAAGTTCTTCTTAAACCATCAAAAGGGTGTATTATAATCCTATCAGAAGTTGGACTCTTCGAGTCTTAGAATTCTCAGTTCCTTAATACAAAAGATTTTACTATTCCTCTGGATCAATTGGAAAGAGCTCTTCATAGTAAGTGAGAAAATGTTCCACCACTTGATTCTGGTAAACCATGTTGGCAGCAATATTAGCAAACAGTTCTTTTTCTGGCCTCATGAGTGTTGGTCCAAAGACTATGCCAATATTCTGAGTGGTCATACGGTTCTTTTCACATTCATCTCTTACACTGGGAAGAGAACAGTAACAGTTTATGGTTAAGGATATTGCAAACAATCAATGTCTGCAATATATTCATGCAGATGTTTACATCCTGACACTATAATTATCAAAGTATAATATCGAATGTATTATTAAAACTTGTGGAAATGTATAAAGTAAGAGATTTAATAAGGAAAGTATAACAGGTAACACAATACAGAAAATTTACCAGTATATAAAATTTGTTCAGCAAAACACTACAATCACAAAACGCAATATGATAGAGGGCCCTGCCTGTAGAGGCTTACCTCAGGCGGCATCCTGGTTGGTAAGAGCTCCTAGCAACCTGTGATGCTCTGGATGGCATCCTGCCCAGCTCACCCACGTCACTGGTTGCCAGGAGCTGACCGGGACACTATGGCTGGCGTCCCGTGCAGCTCCTGCCAATCAGTGACATCAGTGAACAGGGCAGGATGCCAGACGGAGGTATCATGCAGCCCCCCCCCGTCCCTCCCGCTAACATGTGCCGCCAGCAACAAGCGCCCCCCCCCAGTGAAAATTTCAGGGACGCCCCTGCCAGCAACCCCCACAAAATATGTGAAACAATCTAACTAATATGGCTGACAGCAGAGACATGTATGAGGGACTAGAGCGCATGTGAGGCAGAGAGTGGAGGGAATTACACAGACAAGGTTGTGAGGTGAAGAAACTCCGGCATTAGTTGAAAATGTTAAAAAGAAATTGTAACAAAGAATTAATTTCTCTTGGTAAAAGCTTACAGACATGTTAACAAGTTCCCACAATGTGTTATACAGCCATTGTTATTTGTCTTGCTTGGTTTTGTTCCATTTTGATAAAAATGCTCTTCTTGGGTCCCAGTACATTTACATATTTGGGTTCTCAGACTTACAGGGTAAATACAAGTGGGAGAAAGTTCTCTACAGGGGACAATGCATGGTTGGCAGATGAAAAAACTGTACAAGTTGGAGGATGCTAAACATCATGTGGGAGAGAATTCCACAGATATTTAAAACTAGAGAGATAGTTAGGTAGGTAGATAGATAGATAGATAGATAGATAGATAGATAGATAGATAGATAGATAGATAGATAGATAGATAGATAGATAGATACATAGATAGATAGATAGATAGATAGATAGATAGATAGATAGATAGATAGATAGATAGATAGATAGATAGATAACCAGGGAAGTAAAGGACAAGTTTTGAATTGTGGGCTATATCCTAAAATGTAGCAGAAATATTGATGTATTTAATAAGTATCAATAAAGAATAACATGACACAATATCAGCAGACTAATTGGTTTGCATTTAGGAGGTTTATACTCTTGTGAAAAGAATTAGGTTTAGTCACTTCCCCTGTGAACCCTTCAGACACACTGATCCTGAATCATACTGGCTAACCTGGACAGCAGAGGGGTTTGTGTGCAGCAGCTGTTCTGAACCCAAGAGAGATGAGATTATCACTGGGACTTGGAGGAAGTAGACTAGAGATGACTCAATGCAAAAAATTAATCAGAGTACCGGGAATGTAGCAACGTATTCACTAACTCAGCTTGTCATGTCATCTGCCAATATTTTTCAAGTGATTACCTCTCAGGCTGAAAATGAGTTGTGCATTACAGGCACACCGTAACATTAAGAGAATGCCAAAATGAAAAGAAAGATTCCTGCTAATGCAAATATGATTTCCATTATGAAAATAAAACATGAAATTTCACACAGCGGCCTCCCAATGCATAGCTGGCTGTCAGAGACCAGAAAACCAATGTCAGGAGATATGAAGCACTGTAGAATGTTGTGAAACAGAGTCGTTATTCCCCTTTGCTTTTGTCAGGGAATTCATAAAACATGACCAGCTTGTTATGACGCAGGACACGTTTCAGAAGCCATGGTTTATGCAAAGAGAAAAGTCAGAAGTCCTCATCTGTGTACATACTGTGTCAGTTAATGGGAGTCAAATAGGTCAGGATGATAGCCAAACAAATAGCACCTATAGGAGAGGTCAGCAGAAGCAGCCTCCCTGTTTCTATCATGACAGGTTTTCTTTCATGACTTATAGTTTCCCTGGCTACACCAGTTTTGTTGCACCAAACTAGAGAACACACAGGACCTGTGTCACAGGACCAGTAACTTTCATGTTGAGCTTTTAGTTGCCCTTCAAGCAATCACACATAGATGATACAACAGTTCGGTAGAATAAAAACCAGTAGAATAAGGTGAGAGGACGGAACCCCTGGCAGGGAGAATCTGGAGCGATGTAAAACACCAGTAACCTCGATCCCTGTATTGATAAATGGTTTACTCGTTTCTGGGGCAAGCCCCCTTCATCAGAACCAATGATTGTTTAAGACCCTGTTTTACATCGCTCCAGATTCTCCCTGCCAGGGGTTCCGTCCTCTCACCTTATTCTACTGGTTTTTATTCTACCGAACTGTTGTTAGTACAGCCTTAGAGCTGCGTGTTTTTACTATTAAATAACATTTTTACACTATGGAGGCGCTATCTTTTGTTCCTTTTCTCATTGACTGGTGGTCCATCTAATCTGTGGGAGCTGCCTCCATCGTGTTTGCTGTACTTTTACTGCTGGGCTCTTTTTGGATTTGAAGACGCCGGTATTGTTTTGCAAGAATTCAAAGAGCCTGAAACAGATGTCTGACTTCTAGAAGGACCGCATTGTTGCCATGTTTCAGTCCAGAACGGCATATCATGAAAGCACCCAGACAATTGAGAAGAATGCATCAAATGTTCTTTGGACAGCTATCAAATGCATAGACAAGGGCACACATGCCAGAAGACTGGGCACAAGTCCAGCTAAAGTATGACTGTATGTGAAAGGATTGCAAGACTGCCATTAATAACGAGCAACTGTCATAACAAGAGTCTCTAATACAACAAACAATGATTTGCTTGGAGCAGGGCTTTGATTTTGTGTTATGGCGCAGTGTTTATATTTGACACTTACACACTACAGAGATTGGTTGACCACGCATAGGACATGGGGGATTTGACAAAGAGTTGTGTTAGCTTATGGGTGCCAGTTCTTTTTGGGTTAATTTGACCTAAAACAGCTACAGATTCTTGTGAAGAAAGGGCTGACCTATTAAACCTTACCCATATCCAGAACACCATACAGCAATTATTGAAGAACAAATGGCTTGACACACTAATGAATATGGGCCATAACCATTTATCCTTATAATGAAATAAACACATGTGTCAAAAAGGAAAATATATGCCTTAAAAGGCTTAGATCTTGTTCACATTGGTTTCAGCTTTCATAAGAGTAGTATGTAAAGCAAGCTTTTGCAAAGTATTTGCAATACTTTCAGTCAAATGGCAGCACCTGTAAAGAACCATTCAGCGTCAGTTTGAGGACAATAAACATAGATCTTATTGGGACAGCTAACCGTCGCTTTATACAAGCTGACAGCAGGCTTCAGTAGGCTTCAGCACTATTTGCAGGTTATGGAAAGCCAGCTGAAGCCTCCTAGCAGCTTTTTTTAGGTGACCCGGGCTCAGTAGTCCCATTAAGATCTGCGTTTCACATCCTTATAGTAAAACTGAAGTTTTCTTTAAAGGCTTCAACAAAGATACTCACAACTTACCAAAAGCTATACAAATACTTTGTAAACGTTTGTTATACAAGCTGAAACCTGAGTGAACAAGGCCTTGCGATGAGCACGGCCTACCTGCTCAGGGATTCAGCTTTTCATCCGGGTGAAGCTGTTGTGCGCCAGCCCACCCTATTTCATTTTGTTTGTAATCTGTGAACCACTGACTATTCCTAAACATACCCACCATATGCTGGAACTTACATACAGAAGGTCTGAATGAAGTATCGTATTATGTTGTATTAAGACGTTTGTCAGAGTCAACAATCACATTTAGACCTGACCACTGATAAATTAAGCAGAAAGAGGCAGTTACAATGCACAGGCTTCAAGAAGATAATCCATCCACCTTCTTTATAAGAGGCTCTGAAAAATCTGGCTAAAGTGGATTACACAAAACACAGATTAATGTAAACTGAGTGAATTCATTTTAACACAATGGCATTGTTTTCTGGACAGCATTAGCAGCTCACTGACTGGGTTCACTTGTGCCTTGTAATTCCTATTTAAAGTGAACTTGTACCTAAATTTCTCAGACTTCATGACAAAGATTTGTAAATAGCCAAATGTAGTTTGACTCTAGATTCACTATGACCTCATCTTAATGTTACTTCTTCTAAAATATTTACTCACTAGTAACAATGCTGCTACCCATCCTGTTTCTGCTGCTGCTCCCGCAACAATCTTGTGTGAAAAACACATTGGGGAACAGGGTGGTGAACAGCAGCTTTCCTAGTAAGTTATTGTAAGAGAGGGTGGGAGTTTGTGTTCTGGGGTTGGATACAGGAATACTATAAACTTAAAGGAGAAAGGTAGGGAGAGTAAAATATAATCTCCACATAGCTTGGAGCCGGTGTGTGGGACACTGCAGCTATTACACACAGACAATCGAGAGCTGACTGATCATGTAACCGCTGATTGCTCAGCTCTCTATCTCTTCTCTCTGCAGACAGCAGTGACTTTCAGTCTCTACCCATAGGGATTCCCTCCTCATCTCTCTCATTGGAGGGACAAACAGAGGAGGGGACTGGGCACAGCTGGCTCTGGCTCTAGAGAGGCAGAGCCAGCTATCACTTAGGCAGCCGGGGTGGATCCCAACAATATTGTCAGTATAATTTCCGGCTCATGCGATTTGTAGTCCCACAACAGCTAGAGGGCTGGAGTTTGCCCACCCTGTGTTTTACGATAGCAGGCATTAGCCCACTATCTGCTGACTTTGGGTCACAGGAGTATATTAGTAAATCTACTCCTGTGACTTAAAGGAGATTTGGGCTCATGTCAATGGTAATAGTTAGAAACACTTCTAAGATTTTTCAGAAATGATTGGCAGGTGCAGTTGGCCTCCTTCTGACCTGCATATGACCTGCTTCCAGTCGGTGCTGCATTACCATA